AACCGAAAAATGTTGTGGTTCAACATTAAACCTAATCAAAGCAAGCAGTACCACAACATTTGTGGGTTGGCATACAAGACACAAGAGCATGGCAAATCATAGACTTGGTATTCAGGATAGAAAGAGGATAGAGACGGCAGGGACCGGAGCTAGTTGGCTGACGGTAGGTCTGTTGGTACCAGGGACGTGGTCCATGTAGCAAAGGGGTGACCATGACACTTACTCAGAGGCTTGCGCCTCGAATAAGTCCCCCAGACGCAGGGGAGGGCGAATAACGCTTTGAGTAGCACAGATGGGGAGTCAGGGGTCGAGTGAAATAAGTGGTCAAGGGGTAGAGCAGACGGATTTTACGGAGCAAGAGAGAGACTGGGATAAGACTAGGAAAAAGAATTACATAATAATAAAGCAGATTCTAATCAACATTCCCTAAACAAAGATGAAGGGGTTGAGAACGATAGTTGGAGTGTGAAGTTGTCATGTCGCTCAAAGGAACACACCACACTTTATCTAAATAAATGCGATAAAAATCGTAATAGTAAAGGCATGATGGGATGATACAGAAAACGCGAAAAAGCCAGGGCCGAAGGGGAGATACCACAACTGTTTAGCACACGTTTGGTCAAAGGATCGGCTTCACTTGTCTCTTTGACGAGTGGTTGTATGGTGCTATGAATGGCGATACTCATTGACGATGCCGGCAAAACGTTTGGGAATGTACCACGTCCACGGTTCTACTCTGGAAATGATGATGCAGACAATAGACTCCGGACTAGGTGTGTTCTTCTAAGTCTTCCAACCAGCATGACCGAGTTGCGAAAACAAGGTCAAACAACTTCTCTATAACGAAAGGAAACTGCGACCACATAAGGGGCCACACCATCTTGGTCTTCATACCTTCGATTGATGACATAGTGTTGACTAAAGAATTTTGCAAAAATGAGCTTCAGCTCTGATGATATTCGCTAAATGACGAACTAAATCTCAGCCGTTTTCCATCGAGGCGAGGCAGGATGTCTTGTGGGCTGCGTCAATCTAAATGTCATATTAAATTAAGACGGCTGAAGAAAATTGGAAATCATCAGTCGAGTTCGACCGTCAAATTTCTCCATCGTGCATCTTCATACGAAATAAATAAAATAAAATAAAATAACACGAATAAACCGTTGCCCAAGTCAGATAGACCAGCCTACTTTTGGTACCGATTCGACTTTCCGTTTCGAAGCAACAGTCGGTTGAAAAAGATGTGTGAAGTGACCTTACAGAAAAGCAAAAGAATAGTGCTCGATTGTGCGACTCCGACGACGACCTGAGGGCTACTTTGCATAATCCTCCTTGGAGGTTTGATGAGGCCAATCCACGAATGCCTTCCCAACAATTTTTCCATTTAAATACATTTCCAGTCACATTTGCCCCACAAGTGAATTCTCGAAACCCACCATTTCTTTATGCATACTTTGATGGTGTTTTTATGCTATAATCACAACTCAACGAGTGTTATGGGCGACCAGAAAGATGCTAGCTCACTGGTGAAATGAGTAGTTGTGATGAAAGTGTTGAGCTCACCTCGAATGTGAGGACCTTTTAAAACTTCGGTGTTGGATGATGTCTGCACATTGACAGAGAGAACGGTCGTGAAAAGCAGGATCAAAAAGAGCAGGTTGGTCAACATTGCCATGGGGCGAAAGGATGGCCTCATCTGTCGAGTATGGGGAAGTGATACAGTCTGGCACTTGCCGATGCTCGTCAACTTCCGGTGCACCCCAACCGACTGAACACGTTGATTGAGGACAGCAGAGAATGAGTCAGGACGTCCACAAGAAGAGGATGAAGGAGACGGAGAGAAGGGGAGGATTGAAGAAACTGTATCCAAAGTCAAACTGAGTATTCTATTTTGATGCAGACAAGTGGGGCCCGTCGATTTATCTACACCGTCCAGGGCCCGAAGTACCGACGATGCAGCAGAGAAAAATGTCTCCATTGTCAACGGAACTTGGGATGTGGCTGGGATTGCTTTGGTAGGCGGTAGCTTTGATGAAGAGAACACCAGGGAAGGGAGTAAAAAGCGAGAAAATAAAAACATGTGTCTAGGCGGAGGGATGAGTACTTCTGCTCTGAATGGAGATGAGCATGACTGGTAAACTTGTTCCCGGGCCTCAGCCAATTCAGCAGGATTAAGAGATCTTCGGAGAGTACGTGGTTCCGGAAAAAAGGAGAGAAATCTGCAAACAAAAGGACAAGAGACTTAAATTAACTTAAAGCTCAACTATGTAATGTTGATAAAACTGAATAAATATACAAATAATTATGCACAATTTGCATTTATGAGTATGGCCTCAAGACTACTGGTAAATCAGTAATATGAGTAGTATTCGCTCTATTTCGTTTAAGGTGATAAAGGACTAGTAAAAGAAGAATTTTCCCACAGGGATATGAGTTGAGCTGTCGTG